ATCAATTTTTAATATTCAGAATGCTTTTATAATATCTTTTAGGTTACACGGATCACTAATGACAATGTCTTGAGCGTCGATACTTATTAAATGGACGACAAATATTTGTTTAAGGACAGTGAGGAAACTCAATAAACACGCTTATATTTTTCTTCGGTTATTACTCAAAACCGAGATAAAATTTATTTCTTTTTAAATAAAAAATACAATAAAATATGTTTCATCCAAGCGTCACATACCTCTCGGTTTATGTAAAAAAGACACCACTTTTAAAGAAATAAAAACATAAATTGTTGTTGCTGGGATTTGAAGTATGTCCTGAATTATTTTTTTCCTTCAGTAATATTTAGAAACCGAGGGAATATGTGATGAAAGTAAAATTTTTGTCATAAAATATATTATTTGCATGTTCACTCATGTCTAGAATAACAAAGTCTACTAGAAATAGCAAATCATCGACATTCATTAACATGTCTTCAAGCACACCATATGAATAAGTAACTCAGCGATCCGCTAATGTCAAATTCATACTTGTAGGCTTAACATCCCAACAACCGCTTTCATAGTGGAAAGAGACATGAAGTTGATCCTAGCCTCTAAATCACAAAGTGCATGTCTAATTTTTAACTTTCCAATTGAACAAGGGATAGTGAAATGATTGGGATCAACTAGCTTCGATAGAATCTTCCTTTAAATAATTGCACTGCATTCTCCCACCAAAGGTATGTTTTCATCATATCTCGGTTTTCTTTTTTCATTAAACAAATATTTCATGAATTTTAGAATGAATAGAAATTTTCTCTAATGCTTTACCAAAAAGAATGTTGACTTGAAATTTAGTAAGCATTTTTTTAAACTTTTTGAATCGCCCCTATTTCATTTAACTTTTTCAATATTAAAGTTTACTTAAATGATCATATTTATTTTTAAGAATTGCAAAAACATATAATTATTTTTAAATCATTCTTTATGTTTTCTATTTATAAAGAGTAATAAAAAGAATTTATTTTATTGATTGATGTATTTTGTGATCAAAATCCTCTCCATTTATTTAAGGGAATTTCTTAATACATTCTATGCTTTACTAGCACACATTATGAAAATACAATAATATCTCAGATTTCAAGATGCATCTTCAAACGCGCCTCAAGTCAATACAATTCTAAATTAGGCCCTAAGAAAATGAAAAAAAATATATATATATACAGAAATGCATCTCCGTGAAAATTATAGAGATGCATCTTCGGACAATTTTGTTTCAAAAATGCGCTAGAACCCTTTATCCTTCCTAAGTTCCAAAAAACACTTTCAAGGTTGTCAAACTCTTTCAACTCACATTATCTTAAAATCACTCAACCAACTTCAAAGCTTCTTCCATCAACCATGTCCATCAAAGAGTTCATTCAACACCAAATTAAACTCACGATTTGTAAGTTTTTTATTTTTCTAAATTTTTTATTTTTGAGTTTTTGTATAAATTTATAGAAATTGATGATTAGGTTATGAAATGGATAGATTATACATGTTTGATAGTTTATACATAGCGAGAAATGTGTTTGATAGGTAGTTTTATTTATCAATGCATTACTCATATTGTTTTGGGGAATGCATTACCGCCATTGATGTTGATGAGAGTTGTAGGAAATTTCAAAGATAAATCTCTGAAATTTTATAACATTTTAATTCTAAGAAACCGGAGATGCATCTCCGAATTTTTCAGTCTTCATTTTTTTTGCTTGTACTCATTGTGTAATGCTTATGTGGTTTACTTATAGGAATTATGGTTGATATGCAAGATCTATTGAGGCATGACATGATTGCATAACATGCATATGTTTGGAGGGAAAAGAGTCAACCATCGCATGATCCTGTTACCAATAGCCGAGTTGATGTAGAGGCGTCAGCTTCTGGAGCTCATGTATATCTTCCTTCTTCTTCCTGTTGGAGACGGGTGTCACCTACTCATGTATCCCTGCCTTTATCTCCCCGTATGTGATAAGTTTCACCTATTCAAGTATCCGAGGAAGCAGAGCTACCCGAGTCACCGACCGTACCTCATACACTAGAGGTATCAGAGGCACCCCAGGCACAGGAGGCAGCAGAGGTATCTGAGGCACCCCAGGCTTAGAAGGCAGTAGAGGCGCCGCAAGTACCGCAGGGGTTTGGAGGAGGCCTGTTAGACTTGTCATTTTTGCCTCTTTACCCAGACCATACTGTCAGATATGTCTGAGACGAAAAGGTTAAATTAGTTGGATTCATTCTTTTTAAATCGTGTTTGTTTTAATATTAAAAATTTCTAATGATGATTTATTTTTCTGCAGGACCGTTTTCCGGTGAAATTCATCAACCATTGGTGGAAGGTTACTTGGCTGCAGTAGCCTAATGAGTCGAGGTTTCAGGATGTTTTGCGGCTATCTAGAATGAGAGACTTGTGCAAGACTGGTTATGGTACACTTAACCATGGTATGCTTAATGTGTTTGTGAAGAGATGGCACACAGAGAAATCATTATTTCATATTTCACATGGTGAAATATTTATCACACTTGACAATGTCGCGTGTCTTTTACATCTTCAAATTAGTGGAAAACTTTTAAATAATGGGAAGATTAACATAGATGATGCACTGGAGTTGATGGTAGGCTATTTAGGAGTTGACCCATAAGCTGCCATGAGGGAGTTTAAAGCCACCCGAGGGGCTCATGCTTGGTTTTGATTCTTCAAGAAGGTGTATACATATGAGCTACTTAGAACATAACAGACAATTGGTGATGATGAGCAGGTTGCTCAACATAAAGTATACACTATGAGAGCATACATGTTGTATTTGGCTAGCACTGCCATTTTTGTGGACAAGAGTGTCACTTATGTGAATGTCATATACATGTGATACTTCAATGACTTTGAGCGGATCAATGAGTACAATTGGGGTCCGCTTGTTTGGCCTACTTGTACTCTAAGTTATCTGAAGGCTGTATGTGGATGACGAGACATGTGACAGGCAACATCACACTATTGATGGTAATATTTCTTTGTCATTTAGTGTTTATGTGCTCTTTTCATAAGACTTTTGCAATGCCATTAATGATGATCCATGTGTTTCAACATTTTTCACGCTTGGATCCTCGAGAACTTCTCACGCATTTTTGGCTAGTCATGTCTACCAACATATACTGAGGATATGCCACATGTTGTTGAAATCAGAGGGAACCAGGAGACAGAGTCGTTCAAAGTGTATCTTGACCGCTTGGTAGTAGAGGATATACATTTCCATGCCTACGTAGATCACTGTGAGACGCATCCCTTTGATGACATTGCCTTATACTCTGGATGGTTGGCTTGCGGTTCACGTCTGACGTTTCCTCATTTGCATGAGTGCGTCATAAAGAAATTTGACTACTTGCAGTATATTCCCATAGACCCTTATGTGTTTGCTCCTCCCGCTATGACATGTAAATATATGGATGTTATGTTTGATGATTATCTTAATCATCTGGTACCGGGGAAGATATCGAGTACCATAGCTGAGAGCGACTAGAGCTACGTAGACGGTTACATCAGATGGTTCTTCAAGGTGTCACATCCTCACATGATGCTCCAGAAGATCCACCGAGACTAACTCATCAAGAGATACTAGAGGAGAAGCAGAGTATGGTAGATCGTGTTGTTGATGTGTTACTTAGATGTCGTTGTATCATGGAGATTGGGCAGACGGGTATTGACAGAGGACTCTTTCTGGATGGCTCTAAGGAGAGGGATGTTGTAGATGCCATGATGAGGGGGTTCCAAGACCGATTTCGTCATACGCAGTAGTTTATAGTATTTATACTTTTGATTTATGTTCGGATGTATTTTATTTTAACTTATTTCGACTTCATTATATACTCTGAATTTACTTTATATGTGTCATTTTCTACATATCTGTTGTATGGTCTAATTTATTATAGTATAGATTTACTATATTGTTAATTTCATCTAGGCATCACTAAAACATACTTAAATTTACTTTAGGATCTGGATATGGAGATGCATTATCAGATTCTGTCTAGTGCATACGGAAATATATTTTTGAAATAATATATAATAAAAAGGAGCATTTCTTCTAGTGCATACGGAAATATATTTTTGAAATAATATATAATAAAAAGGAGCATTTTAGAGAGGAATGTATGGAGTGTAAATTGAATTATTTTGAAAATGTACCCCATATAAAATTTTGCAAAATATATTGGGCATGACTCATTTTTAACGTTTTGACAGAAGACGAATGTGCATATGAAACTACATCTTTAGAATCTAATGGACAATTTTAAATTTTCATAAAGTATTTTTCTATCCAATAAGATAAAAATAGTATCTTTCTTATTTAAATGTAGTTTATATCATTTAAAAAAATATTTAGAAATAGTAACTTTCTTATTTAAAGTGTATTTTACATTATTTAAAAAAAATGAATGTGGAATACTTTAAGTGAAAGGATCCATATACTAATGTCTTAAGATTTTGGCAATTTCTTTCTTTTGTCACTTACTTGGTTTTGAATATTGTTACTGTTTATTTGGAATATTTGCAGTTTGCAGAGCACAAATTGTATCAGAAGTTGGCTTTCTGAACAAAAGTTGCTCTTTTAGGCCACCACTTTGTACTTGACTACATCTTTTTTGAATAGACATTTTTGTCATCAGCTCAATTATTCTACCAAATCTTTCTAATCAACACCTAATTTCAAACCTTTTTGTTGGCCTAAAACTTTAAAACAACAATCCACTTGCTTGCACTCTCTTCAACAACTTTTTTTACATAATCTCTTTTCAATACACTTAACAGTTCATTCAAATTTCAAGCACACAAAAAACTCAAGTACAAGGGTTGAAAACCAAAAAGGCCAAAAAGGCAACAACACTTTTCTTTTGACATTCTGCACAGTTAATACAACATTTGGTATTAAAGGATAATGCTTATTTACAATACAACCTTTAACTAATATAAGGGAAATGGTGTGTCAGAAAACTTCAGGCAAAGGGGTTCCTTCCAAGAATGATTTGAATAGCACGAGTGATCTTTCTGGCTGTGAGAAAGGAGCTTCATGTGCTGCACCTCTCACTGTGGCAAATGAGAGAATATTTCCATACACTTGAGTCCATCCACCAACCTAAAATTTCATTCAAATCACATTAGTTTATCATGCAGGCATACTCAAACTCAAAACTCAAACCACACAAAACAAGACAATACTTCGTAGACGCAGCGCATTGAACTGTGAGGGCTTACACAAAACTCGAAGCGGTATTGTTGTGAATACATACATAAGAAAGTTCAAAGAAAGAATAAAATCTAGTCTACACAGAACCCAATTGACAAAGACTAAAGCCAAAGGAAAGGGATCTTTCTACATTGGGGAAAGACTAGTCAGTATTCCCTAGTCAGTCCACTGAGGGACTTCTGTCCTGTTAAATAATGGAGCCAACATTCTTGCAGTGATGAACTCTCAACAATTCAAATAAGCAATATAGTACTTAATTAAATAATAATATATATTTACCTGTTGTCTTTCAAACCAGACTCGGTAAGGGACTGTTGTATTCAGTCCTATTTGTCTGGCCAATTTTTGAACTAAGGTTCTGCTTCCGGTTAGTGGAATTACTGAGTCTTGGTCTCCACTATAACAAACAAAAATTAGTGCAGATGGTTATGTTAATTTAGCACTAAACCAAAACCAAACTGAGAAGGAAAAATTTAGGTTTTAGACTTTAAGGTACCTGTAAATTAGGATCTTAATTCCAGCTCTTATCAGTGATCCAAGAATAGGAAGTGTTGGCACTTCCAAGTTAAGTACATCATAGTCCAAAACACTATTATCAACACAATAAAGATCAGGCATTATATAGATTGATTGCGAATGTGGCTGCAACGACTGTTTGAATGTGATTCTATACAATATTAAGAAATGCGAATGCAAAGGCAATTTAAAACCTTGAGGAGAATGACTTACTTGCTGCATACATCCCACTTGCGAACTCCGACGAGCTTTGCATGAAGTGCTTCTTGCACATCTCTCCTGTTTAAGTAGTTTGTAACCTTGTCATCCACACACACATCTATCATCTCATTTGCTTGCTACAAGGACACAAAGCAACAATCAAAGTACATTAGTTAAGCTTGAAAATCAATAACTAAAATTATGTAGCACAGACACTTCACATCGAAGACATGTCAATGTGCCACACCGAGACATGGTCACATTCAATTTATAAGTTTCGACGTGTCGTGTCGTGTTTATGCTTCATAGTCCAGAAGTGATGGAAAAACACGAGAAAGGAAAGAGTACTAGAGAAGAGACTCACTTGAGGTTCAGGAGAAATAGCCTTAGATTGTGACAACACAGAGGAAATACAGACATCAAGAGTCACATCATATTTATCCACAAATCTACTAGTTTCTTTGCTCACCAATCCCATAACGTTTGAACAAACAGATGAAACTGAATCTCTATTGTACTCGCTAACATAGCGAGAGTAATTACACACTCTAGTGAACATATTGTAAGTTGAATCTGATATCAGTCCATGTGACCAAAAGAATTCAGCCCTTGAATTGAAATCAGTTGCATATTCCAGAACTGGATTCCCCAACTGCAATCCAATTTTCACATTAGCATCAATTTTCTCACATAGATAATTAAACAACAGAATCATCAACATTTCTTACAGCTATGCCTTTGAGATTGAAAATCTTGTTTCTCTTGTTCATTTCAATCATAAGCTTAGCAAGTTGAGGAACATAATGACCTGAAATGAAAAATACACATAAATATTTTCTACTTACAAACAAAATGTGTAAACATTAACATGCTCTAAAATGTGACAAATTTACCTGCATAACTTTCACCAGTTAGAAACAAATCTCTGTTTCTATATTGAGGAAACTTATCAAACCAACCTTCCAAGAAAACAAGATTGTCCCTAGCTTAACAATTCAAAAAAGCACAATTTAAGATTACAAAAACATGTAAAAAAAAAACAAAAAAAAAACATAACCATCATGATTATCATACTGACCAGAGAACAAGACATGAATAATAATAATGTAAAGTGGCATATAAAATAAAAGTCAGTAATGACATTATACAATAAATCACTGTTTTATCTTTATCTAAGCTTTTGAAAAGCCTAAGAAAGTATAAATACATAAATATACTACTTTTGCCTGTAGAAGTAGGATTTAAAAGGAAGTATCTAGAGAGAAACATTTTTAGTACCAAAAAAGATTCAATAATGAATACCTGTTTCCTCATCATTCACTGTTGTTGTATAAGCAGAACTACCTTTTGCATAAGAGAAACCAACTCCAATTGGTGTCTCCAAATACAGCATATTTGCCTCTGAACACAAAAACAACTCATTCACTTTGAAGAATTCAATGAAAATGCATGTATGTCATTGTGGAAGAATTCTCACCTTTGTTCCAACTATGTTCATTTTTGATAAGAAATTCACCATTTGGTCTAAAGGGACCATTTTCTGAGAATGCACCAACTCCAAGAGAAGAACAGCCAGGTCCACCATTGAGCCAAAGAACAAGAGGCTTTGAAGAAGGGTCAGTTTCTGATTCAGCAAAATAGTAAAAAAGTGACTTGTGTTTTTTGTTATCAACAGTGATATAGCCTGAGAATTGTTGAAAGGCTGTGTTGTGAGGTTGTCCAGGGAGGGAAATGATTCTGTCAGCATGAGAATGAGGATGAGAATGAGAAGAGAAAATATTGAAGGTGAAAAAAGTAAGATGAAGGAGTAAAATAGGAAATGCCATGGTTTGAGAGGAAGATGATGGTATAGAGAGAAAGAGTGATGGGGGTGTATTTAAAATGATGAATTGTTGGTACAAGGTTGGGGGGGTAAGTGTGGTGGGGTATGGAGGTGGGTGGAATTAATGTAGAAATATGATTACAATTTTAACTTTTTTTAATGGCAGGCCTGAAAAATGGTGTTGAAAGAGATGTGACAGAGGCAATGACCAAGGTGTGCTGGGTCTTGTCTATAAGTGAGTATACCCTACACCAAAAAGAACAAAAATATATTACTATAGACTTGGACTTGGAGCTACATTTATAGAATTTTCATTTTTTCATTTTTCTTTATTCTTGAATGGTAGTTCAAATATTTAATATGGAATGGAATACATTTTGTTAATATTTGAATTTGTGTCCATCAATTAACTTGGTTTTTAAAGTTTTCAAAGTATCTAAGTAATTACTTAATGTGATTGACTTTCATCAAATAAGTATACCCTTTAAGTTTAGTTGTTAGACAAATTTATAAATATTTGAAAGTAGTTATTTGTTTGTTCAAGAATTTTCCATTTATACAAGGATCAAATTGATATTAAATTGTATATAATGTACTTTATTTTATTTTTTTAATAAAAGGGAGGCTTTAAAAGTCTAAAATTAAAGAATTAAATACGAAAAATAATTTAGGGGATATCCTCCTCAACAGAATTAACAATTGCAATTATTTTTGTAAGGCAAAAGTCATATATCACTGATCCTATATTGTGAGAAATGCTCAGATTAGCCAACACATTTGCATATATATATCTATTAGAAATATGATAAACTATATATGCATCAAGTAAATTAAGCAATTATTTCTTCACTACCTTATTCATTATAGGATTACGTCGTCAATGTGTTTGGACGACTAGTTTGAATTCTTTCTCGTGCTTGATTTTATTCTCTTAAAATCAGATATGTTACCACCAAGTGTTTGTTAGAACAAAATTTGTTCATGACATATATTCTTTGGGTTTTGATGATAACAAAGTATTTAAAGAACAATAGTTATACTTGATGTGTGTTTCTTGTGGGCAGGTTCTAATACTTGTAAATCTTTATATACATAATCTGTTATACAAAGACACACTTGAGAGAAGCTGAATTGCTAGCTTCTGGTGGTGCATAATCTGAAGAACACTTGCTAAGTAATATCTGGCGTAGAGTTTGAAGCTGAAGGCCTCAACATTAGAAGAAGCAGCATAATTGTCTCTGTACTTGGTAAATGTAAATTGGTTTCTGGTATCATTCAGAGTTGGTTATAAAGTTGAAGTTGTTTGTACTGCATAAAGTAAGATGCATTGTCAAATCAGTTTGTCAGCTGGAGTCTGAGTTCACAAGGCTCAAGAAATGTTGACATGCTTTACAAATATTTAATCTCAACGGCTCTATAGTACATGATCTTCCTGAAAACTCAACGGTTAAACATTTTACACAATGGATCACGCTCTTTGGTGTATCTATCTTCAATGGATCTTGTACTATATAGTAAAGCAAAGACACTTGATCAAGTTATCTCTTCCAGTGGCTAGTTTGTTGCAACTGTTATATAAGTGGATGAAGATTCAAACTGAATCTTTAACATGGATTAACCAGAAGAAGGAGTAACACTCTATTGTATATGCAGATTTTTTGTTGTAGGTTGTAATTGTAAAAGCGTTAAGACTTCTTATACATTGAATATCTTAGAAATCTTAAGAGCTTTAGGTCTTTGTTATGGTGATTTACCGTATTTCTTATATTAGTATCATGTACACCTTGTTCTCTATTCTAATGAACTTGTTTAGCAGTTTATATTAAGTCTCTCGCCAAGATGCTTGAGTCATGTAAGTCTTTTTCTATGTGCTTGAGCATTAAAAAGCTTAATCAAGTAAATTGATTGAGCATAAGTCTTGTATCATTGGGATACAAGCAAAGAAATCTCTCTCCAAGATTCTTGAGCCATGTAAGTCTCATGCTATATGCTTGAGAAATGAAAGTCTTGTATCATTGGGATACAAGCAAGGAAGTCTCTCACCAAGATGCTTGAGTCACGTAAGTCTCATGCTATGTGCTTGAGCAATGAAAGTCTTAATCAAGTAGATTGATTTAGCAAGGGTAGCTCGGTGAGTGAAACTTGGAGCAGACGTCTTGAACCAGGGGGATTTAAGCAGGAAGTCTCGTTTCATGGAGCTTGGAGCTGAAGTCTTGGGCCAGAGTGGCTTGAGCAGGAAGTCTCGGGTCTGAGGGACCTAAGCAGGAAAGTCTTAGGCTGAGGGTCTAAGAAAGGAGGTCTTGAGTCTGTAGGACTTGAGCAAGAAGTCTTGGACCTAGTGTCTGAGCATTATAAAAGATTTATGCAGAATGCATAAGCGATTGTAACCATGATTTGATTATAGTGAAAATCTCTTGTGAAGCAAAGGGACTGGTGTAACGCCCATTTTAATTATTTTTAGTTTCGGTGTTATTTTTTTTATCCGTTGACGTGTTTATGTGGAATTATTTGAGAACCAAAGATCATATTATTAATATATAGCGATAATAGTGTGATAATTAATAGTAATGTTAATATTATTATTATTAATTATTATTATTATTGTTACTAATATTAATATATGAGTAAAATATTAATATTGGAAATTATTTGGAATAAAAAGTGATTTTGGGGTATTAAGGGTAGTGTTGGCATTTTTGAAAAATAGAACAAGAGAAGAACACGCACGAAGGAGAGGAACGGAGGAGGAGCACGATCACGGTAGAATCAAGAGTAGAAGCTTGATCAAGAAGGATTTTCGTGTGGATTGTGAAGCTTCATCATCATCAGAAGTGCATTCGAGGTAAGGGGGATTGATCGGTTGAATTGGTATTTGCATGAGTAATTGGTAGAAAGGGGAAATTCCCTAATCCCCATGATTGATGATGAATTGATGTTGTTGCATGTTGTTAATTCTGTTATGAGTGTGATCAATGTGTTAGAAATTGTTGCATGCGTTGTTCGGATGAATTTGGGGTTTTGGTAGATTACCTTTTTAAGTCGAAGTTGGTCCGAACAGTAAGACTAGGTTGTTATCGGGTGGAATTCAGTATAGATTTCGTAGTTAAGTCGGATTATGTTGGTTAGTCGTGTTAGCAGCTGATTTTCGATAAAATTGGGAGAAATCGGGGAAGGTTGTTGTTTCTGCTGTGTGGGATTTTTCTGAGAACGCAGGTATTCGCTGGGCGAATGAGAGGGCGAGTCTTTGCCATGCTTCGCCAGGCAAACTGGGCAGTGAATGCTGCCAGTAGCCTCTGTTTGGTTTCGCCAGGCGAATGGTCAGCGAGTGTGCTGCGGGGCTTCGTCAGGCGAATGCGCCAGCGAGCCCGACAACAGTTTGTGTTTGCTGATGTTTTGTGTTGATTTCTTTGTGGTTTTGGACCCTTGTTGGTCAGGTTTGGTGATGAGCTTATTAGTGAGCTGTGGTGAGTGTATGTATGGTGTCGGAACGTGATTCCGTGATATCTGTGTGATTTTGATAATTGAATTAGTGTATGTTATGATGTATGACTGTGGTGATGGGTGAGGCATGTTCGATATATGATAAATCGTGATCACTAGGATCAATACGCTTTATATGCGTTGCGTTTATATGCTGTTGTGATGAGTGGATCAGTAGGATCGATACGCATTGTGTGTGTTGTATTGATGTGTTGTATGAGGAATTGGATCAGTAGGATCGGATGCACTCTGTGTGCTTGATGTGTATGCATTATATGATGCGATGGATCAGTAGGATCGTGTGCACCGTGTGTGCTGTGTTGTTGTGCATGGTGTCTGCATAGCATGTGGACGTGGTGAATCATTGCTCGGTGGAGTGTATGTGATTCACTCACGTGCTCCAAGAGGGAAGCGTGGACGTGGTGAATCATTGCTCGGTGGAGTGTATGTGATTCACTCACGTGCTCCAATTGGGGAGCGTGGACGGGAGTTGAATCGTTGCTCGGATGGAGTGTACACGATTCACCCGTGTTCCAAGTAAGGAACGTTGGTAGGGATAGATCGTTGCTCGGATGGAGTGTATGCGATCTATCCTGAGATTTGATTATGGGTTCAGGAGGAGCGTGGTAGGGATAGATCGTTGCTCGGATGGAGTGTATGCGATCTATCCTGAGTTAAGTCGGTACCGCATATCATTGTGTCGAGTTGCATGTGTTGCATTTGTTGTATGTATGTTGTGTTGGCATGGGACAGTAGGTCCGAATTCGATGTGTATGAAATGATGTTTATGTGTTTCTACCTTTTATTTCATGTACATTTATATCGTTAATATTTGATCGTGATTTCTCACCCCTTTGCTGTTGTTGTGGTCTGTGCTTCTTCGGAAGTACAGACAATCCAGGTGTTTAGCTAGCTTGGATTGTGGCGATGTCGTAGGGATGCTCTGATACGTAACACCGAGGCTTTTGGGAGTATTTGTGTTTAGTTGATGTTTTGTGTGCCCCTGTGGCGTATCTTGTTTTATTGATTACGAGGATGATATTTTGTATATTTTGGGTAGATGGTCAACTGGTTGTACATGATGATGTTGATGATGTATATATATTAATGCTTATGCTTATGACATATTCATTTTCCGCTGCAATTTTGTTGAGAAATCATTTTTTTAGAAATGTCTTATGGAATTTTTGGTGAAAATGTGACATCCCGTTTTGGTGTGGAAAAGTCTGATGACTGATTATTTAATTGTTTTATTGTATTTTGGGGAACGGGGTGTTACAACTGAACTACTCTCATTTGGGAGGAACTAGTATAAATCTTTGTGTCTTCTACTATTATTTATTTTCTTTTGTTAACATCCGGTGCTAAATATAATTAGAATCTAAACACCAATTTAGATTCTGAACTCAGATCAGACGCATATTAAGAAAACTGAAAACACAATTCAACCCCCTTCTTGTGTACTTTTCTCACCTTCAGTGCTCCCTTATTTTCTCTGAACAATCTCATGAATTTTTTCCCTCC